TCTTGTTTCCCTACTATTGAAGACTTCCATTTACAACGAAGGAGTTTGTTGTTTGTTGTTGTTGTTGTTTTTAAAGATGATTGAAGTAGGAACGATTACCAAATGCTCAGTATCTTGATGTAACGGGGTGGGGGTGGGGGGGTTCCTGGGGACTTTGAGTGGTCCAATCTGCTTAAAAATAAAATAACGACTCTCTTGCCTGTCCCAACCCCCAGGACTAGAATGGAGCCGACATCCAAAAGACAGAATCAGAACGGAGTACCGTTGACTGATGGCTTCTTGCATTCTCACACCCCCACTGGCAAGTCAGTCCGTCCAATAATCGTCCTCGTTTCCAAGAATGCAATAGGGCTGTGTGACAGCGAGGTGGAGGACAGAGTGGCCAGGCCTGCCCTCGGAGAGCTCGGCTCGGCTGTGCGAGCCTAGGTCTGACGAATGTACAGAAGACGCAGTGGATCATGTCGGAAGTAGAACAGCATCCCAGGAACTTCAGGCTATGGCTGCCTGAAGCTTGGTGGTCAGGCCTACAGGGACGTGGAGCACATGCAAGTTGTGTGCCAGGTCCTGGAAGGAATTGAGTGGACCAGCGCCCGGACCTTTCTCCAAGAGAATAAATCGTGTACAAAGTAGACCAAACACAACTTCATAACCACTGTACTCGACTCTTTTTTCACCTGGGGTGTTTTGGAGTGGATCGATTCTGTCTGGGACACACTGGCGCAGCAGGAGAGCTGTTGTCACTTGGGGGGACTTAGGATTTGCTAGTTTGTGGCCCTTAGTTTGCTCATTACTAGAGGGCTGATGCCAAGATGGCAGCACGTGGTGCAGTTTACTGCAAAGAACTGCTGTTCTGGCCCTGTGGGGCCAACAGAATGCTGCCTTCAGAGTTCATCTCCATGGGTTCAAAACTCTTCCTTGACATCAGACTTACTGTTTCCCGGCTCTGCGGGGAATGGACTTGGTTGGGAAGGCTGCTTTGGACCTTGGATTGTCAATCCAAATGTTACCCTGAAGACTGGAAGGGACACATCAACTGTGTTAGGAGAATCAAGTTTCCACCTTGCTTTGTGTATACAACATAAAGGATGGTGACTAACCGATTAAAATAAATAAATAAATAAATAGAGCTGGGTGGATGGAGGCGGAAAGATTTGGGGATGATCACACTGCTGCTCGGGAAAGGAGAAAGGTTCAAAACCAGAGGTGTAATCTGACACTGTGATATGAGGGGAAGTCAAAAAGTATTGCTACTGGGGAGCTAGTTCACACAAACACGGGCTTATCCCTGCCTCTTCCCAAGAAATCCCTTTGAAGGTGTCTCTTAAATCCGTGATGGCTGAGGACAACTTCTCTGGGCTGTACACTTGTTTTGCACCCTCCTTCCACTAACCACCGCCCACTGCCACTGAGTCAGCTTTCACTCAGTGGCCCTGTAGGACACAGCGAACGGCTCCTCCGGGTTTCCAAGCTTGTAGATATGTCTTTTTTAATAAATCACTTTATTTGGGGCTCTTACAGTTCTTATAGCAATCCATACACCCGGATCAACATGTGACTTCCTCCCTGGGGGACGGACAACAGAAAAGTGGGTGAAGGGAGACGTCGGACAGGGCAAGATATGACAAAATAATAATTTATAAATTATCAAGGGCTCATG